CCCCTACCCTAGGGTAGAGAGACTGTTTCCAAATAGACCCCCAACATCCTTCCCTCCAAGAACATCCCACCTTACTCTTGGGGAGACTCGAACTCACAACCTCTCGGTTGGAAGTGGGGGTTGATTAGTGGATGGTAGTGTCTTATGGGTTGCTTACCATAAGACGGATGGATTATAATATTAAATTGAATTCGCTATTAAAAAAAACCTTTTAAACCGTACATTAAAGGCATTTATTGAATTTTAAGAAGAGAGGTGGTCCCTAGGGTGGTTGGGGGTGTAAAAGATAAAAGTGAAAAAGGAGTAAAGTATGAAAATAGCCCGTGCGATGCCTTTTGGCAGCAGTTGCGTGTGAAAAGCAGAAAATTGGTTTAAAGGTAAACACGAGTAAGTGAATCTACACCTTACCTCACGCTTCTACAACTTTCGTGTAACTCACTCTCTTCATTTGCTCTTCAATACTTGAACCTTGTTTTTTCCTATTCTTACCCAATATTCGTATTGGAACCTGATTAAATTCGAATTCATTCGGAAAAGTAACATATTGGAGATGAAATATTGTCTAACAAAAGCGACTCTACATCCAGGACTCGAACCGGATACCTTTGATTAAAGATAAAAAAGTATATGTCATTCTACCATATCCCTTCTCGATAAAGACTTGAACCTTGTTGTTCTTTTATTACTCATTTGGTTTATTATTTTAAATATAATGATATTCCTAGTTATTATATGAGATTTTATTAATAATAAAATGAAAAAAATAAAATTTAAAGAAGTTTCAAGCAGAAAAATATATATATTTTAAACAAATTAAAAATAAAAGAGTATCATATAATTATTTTTGAAGTAATACTATTTAAAGAGAGAGTGTAAGGGGGAGGGGGTAAAATAGGACATACTTTCTAAAATTATTATAAGCATACATCAAACGAGTCACAATTTAATGAAGACTTTATCTTAGATATGACATAACTATAGAAATAAAAGCTTAAAATAGAACTATTTAGCATTAAATAGAGGAACCCACTAAAATTAAGAGCAAAAAAGTTTGTGCTTTGTAATATTTATTAAATGATTTTTAAGGGATATATTTTTTAAGGGGCTTAGCTCCACTTTCTCATCTTAAGAAAAAGGACAAACTAAAAAATCAAGTTATAATAATTTAAAAAAAGAAAAAGAAGAAGAAAATAGTAAAGTAGATACACGCGCCAGAAAAGTGTTTGGTATACTTGTGTATGAATAAAAAGTAAAGAAGCAACTAATTGCAAAACAAATGAGGAACTAAAAAGGCAGTCAATCTAGTCATAGTGAATGAAAAAGGAAGAAGAAAAAGCTTTTTAGAGATAATTAAAAAGCAATCTTAGCTACTCATGAATCTCCTCATCTCACTCTTTAAAAAGGTTTCAACTTTTAGTTAGTACTATTATTTTATTTCTTGCTTCTCTCTCTCCCTCCATTATCTTTTTGAAAAATAATACAATGACAAAAGATTGTTTTGTTTATGAAAAAAATAAAATAATGAATCCTTTAAGCGTATTGTCTAGTGGTCAATGAAATAAATCAATAATAACAACAACAAATCCAGTAGTTTTTCAAAAGTAAGATCTGGGGAGGGTAAGATGTACGTAGTCTTACCCCTTCCACTGGAAGAATAAGGAGACTGTTTCTGATAGACTCTCGGCTAGAGAACGACTGAAAAAGAAAAGGTAATTGCAACAAGTAGGAATAGCATCAAGATAAAATAAGATCGAATCCAAGAATACAGGTAAACTCTAGATCATCAATCTCCTCGTTACCTTGTATTATAGATCCAAGATATTTGAAACTACCTCTCTTGGGGGTCAACGAAATAAATCAAGAATCATAAAATTTCAGCTTCAATTCCTTGAGTCGTGGGTCCATCGGAAATAGAATTTGTACCTTTACAAGGTAGTCTTAGAGTAATTGGTAAAGTTGCTGCCATGTGATCAGGAGAACACGGTTCGAACTGTAGAAACAAGCTCTTGGAGAAATGCAGGGTAAGACTGCGTATAATAAATCCTTGTTGTCTGATCCTTCCCCGGATCCCGCGCATAACGGGAGCTTATTGCACCGGATTACCCTTTTACCTATAAAAGATAGGGTTAAAGTCTTCGAACACACTATCGTCTCTAAATTTTACTTGTGAAATTACATTGAGTATGTTTGTTGTTCTTGTGTTCAAATCCTAGCTGATGCAAACAACTAGGTAATTTCTTCTTACCGTTTAATATTTAGTGAACAAAATTATCCAATATTTAATTGGTAAAAATAACAAATAATCATATAAATTAGTCAAAATATGCGTAAACTAACCCCGTATCATAATCAACGAATAACAATAAAGCAACAATGAAAAGGTGAAACCATTTTGATTAAAGAATTCAGAAAACGTTGTAGTAATAAGAAAAAGATGACACAAAAAGTAGGGCAGATTTGGTTTTTTCCTCTGTCCACAGAGCATTTTCCAGAAATCTTTGCAACTGAAAGTACTTTCACTTATCTCCCTTTCTTCCATAAATTCTCTCCCCCCTACCCCCCTTAACCC